TTTTAAAGCTTGGCAAGACCCAGATTATTTGCAGAGTGGTTTGTACACTTTGCTGAACTTTTGTGGCAACAGTACGATGCACAAACACCTAAAGGTCACCTGGTTGCTTCTCTCCTGCTCCCTGTGCTCACATGTATGTTAGTGCAGTAAAGCTGTTCTTGTTTACATGTTTGTCAGCCGTCAAAAGACAGAACGAGTGTGAAATAGTGACTGAAATGCAGTTAGGTGAAGCTACATATTAACCAGCATCGACTAAAATCCAGGTTTTATAACCGTGACACTGAGTGATGAACTCGAAGAAGAAGAAAAACGTCTGTGTTGTGAATTGAGTTATATTTTTATAGCATTTGAAGCTACTAAGACACAATAAGGAGAAAATGAGATGCTTCAGCTGCTTTGTGCTTGTAAAATATCCCCTGTGTCCATGTTGCAGGTCATTTTGTGTATCACTGGTGTCATTTTGTGTATCACTGGTGTTATTTTGTGTCTCGCTTTGTTATGCTTCTGTCGCTTTGTAATCGTTTTGCATCTTTTTACGGCCCTTCTGCGTCTCTTTCAGGTCATTTTGCGTCACATCTCGCTAATTTTGCAAATGCTTGTGGTTTGTTTGCATCTGTCTGCGGTTGTTTTTTGTCCCGTTTGGATCAATAACAACATAATTTTTGCTTTTTGTTGAGGTATTTAATAGAAACGTGGATGTGTTTTTAACTTAAATAATAATAATAATACACCGTTCATTTAACAGTTTTGGTCTTTTTTATGTAAACCTTCATCCTGTGCTGCGTCACACAATAACCTACAGCTTGTAAAATGAAAAATAACCTTTGATAAAATGGTAATTTTCCATTTTCTAAGGGAAAATTAATTGTTTCGACACATTAATCGATTCGAAAACAGTCATTAGCAGCAGCCGTAACCACCATTTTAGTTTTGCTTTGGTCTTTAGCTTCAAAATGCTTCATTAAATTCATATCTTGTTGCTATTTTCTTTGTGTGTATTCCTTTTTGTGCTGACCAGGTAAAAAACTGTAAGCTTGTAGGCCATAAAATTAACCAAGAGCTGGTGTTTAAATATTTAATAGGAAGCTGCAGGATGGTGTGATTATCCTACATGGTCTCGTGGTTCTAACTCTCCATTTGATCCACTGTAAATCTAAAAACTTAACAAGTGCAGCTTCGACTTTGTATTTACATTCTTATACTTCCTGCTCGGGTTCCTGTCGGTGGTGCGTGTTGGTTTATTCTGCCCTTGAAATAAGGTTCCTTCACCTGAAACGAGCAGAAAACTGTCCCATTAATCACTTCTCTAACATTTCTATAATTACCAAACGGGGTTTTTAAAACGGCAGCCGAGCTCTATTCAGAGAGCCCAGGCCGGTCGGCTTCGCTGTGTCGTATCACCGGCGCGGATTTTGTTTTCTCCGAAGTTGCCAGAGACCTCCGAGTCAAGGTCAGGACGCAAAATGGCCTCAAACTGTAACAAATCTCCAGCGCGCCGCTCGGCCGAGCACACGGCCGCACCAATGACAACGCGGCGCATTCAGGGACAATGAGATGTCATTTATGGAATTGCACTCTTCGACAGCGGCCAACAAATGATGCCGAGGCGCCGCGGCCCGGCACTCTGTCACCAATGACCCTTTTTTCACACGCGCTCATTGCGGCGGCGTCGACTGGCCACCGTTTCAACCCAGCCTCCAATTCTTCGGCTAACCGGCGGCCATAAATCTGCCCCGCCGAAGGTGAACATTAGCACCCGCCGCTCTAATACAAGCACCTGGGTGTACAATCTGAGGTCCATTTGAGGAAACACATAAAGCTCACCATTACACGGCTATCACACTCAACGCTGGAGTGAATCTCCTTCTCCGGCTGCCTTGAATTCCCCGTTAAGTGACATGAAGCAGGCTCTCGTAGCCGTACGTCATAGCGGCGATGGGAAGAAAAAAAAAAAATCCACCGTGAAACTATAATGGAGCGCTCGGGTCCGTTTAGCCGCTTGATGTATTATTCTTCCTCTTGTGGATAAGTGGCTTAATGACCTGACATTCAGATATTTCCATCACGCGCGGCTAGCGTTCTGGGAAACACGGTAATGGAGGCGAGGCAGGTTGGGAGAATGAAGTTAATTTCAACGCTTCATCACCTGATATCGCCGCTCCGTCGCCGAGAATGACAAGATTTAATTGTGTTTACCGGCTCTGCTGCGGGCGGCTTCTGTCCGCTGGAAGGTTTTAGGATGCCGCTTTTGTTCTTGGAAGGAAGCGGGATGATTGTACAAAAGACAAACTGCTCATCTGTTTCGATATGTGACTGAGTCCTAATGATCCGCGGCACAGCTTTGCTTTGCAGCTGCTTCAAGCTGACAAAATCTCCGCAGACAGACAAAACACGGGCCTGAAACCTGAAAGCCTGAATCCAGACGTTTTTATGTTGAAGCTACACGTTAACCCTCTGAACTGAAAGCAGTCGCCGGGTGTTTCTTTTCTCCTGTCACATTCTCGCCTGCTGTGGGTTCATATAAAGTCCTGCACGTCTGTGGAAGCAGCACAAGCAGAAATGCAGCACAGAGTCTGAGAACATTCATCCTGAGCTGCCACTCGACAGAGAACGACGGTGTAGAGTCGCATCTGAGACAATTAAAGGCAGGAAAGGATTACTTTGATGGCTACGACGCCAAAATATGCAACATTAATACAGGGAGAGGAGTTTTTAGGGGATTAATTTGCAAAGAAATTACTCAGATTTGGGGGAAAAAAAAGCATAAAAATTGCATCTACTGCTTCTCTTCTTCCTCCTATTAACTCTTGTTGTAATCAGCGATGTGCATAATTAGTTGAGTAAACGATAAAACCTTGAAAATGCAAACAGTTTCTGCATCTTTTTTACTCATTTAGTTAAAACATTTCTACCTGCAATATAAAGTCCTTGAACATGAGAGTGTGTCTTTTGGGCTGT